ACTAACCATGACATCAGCTGCAGCTGGCTAGCACTAGTAGCGGCAACGCGACTCGGCCAAAAAGGGGGGGGCGCGACAAATCAGGGCGGCGCGGCTCGGCGATGCGCTTACCAGTGGCGGGTGGGTAGGGTGGCCGCGACTGGAGGGGCAGGGCTGTGGTGCGCCGACAGGGTCGGGGCCGCGACTGGGCGGTAGGGCAGAGCCACGACTCAATTGCAAGGCCGGGCCGGGGCAGCAGTTACAGCAGTTGTGGCGGCTACTGGTCACGCCGGCGGCCGCAGATTGGGAGGCGGGAGCTGCTGCAGGTTCGGCGGCGGCAGCTGCTGCAGGTTCGGCGACGGCAGCTGCTGCAGGTTCAGCGGCAGCAGCTGCTGCTGGGCTCGCCTCGGCGGCTGTTGCAGGTGGAGGCCGCGACGTAAGGAGGGGCAGGGCGGGGCCGCAACGAAGGGGCGGCACAGCCGCGGAGACCCGCACCAGCGGGTGAGCAGGCCGCGCGGGGCGGCGACGCGGAGCCGACGCCCGCAGCCGAGGGGGGGGGGGGGGGGGGGGGGGGGGCGCCGAAGGTAGGGCGGGCCGCGACGGGGGGCGGGGCCGTAACAGGCGACGGGGAGGGGTCGGTGCGAGGCTGCGAAGGGGCCGCGAAGGGGTAGAGGCGGGGCCGCGAAGGGGGCCGCGGCGGGGCCGTGAAGGGGCCGCGCAGGGTCGCTACGGGGCCGCGAAGGGGGGCCGTTAAGGGGCCGCTAAGGGGCCGCTAAGGGGCCACAAAGAGGGGGTGCGCGACGGGCCTTAGGAGCAGGGCAGGCCATGAAGGGGCCGCGAAAGGTTAGGACAAGGCAGAGCGTGAAGCGCGCTTCGGGCAGGTTAGGGAAAAAAAAAATGTGGGCCCTTCAGGAAGAAACGGTCCCACTAGGGAACCCGCTCTATACCATGTGAAGAAACAGGAATGAATTGAACTAGAAAGTGTTGGGTACAAAAGTGAAACCCTAGAAACCGATACCCCCTTAGTATCTACCTCACGATAGCCTACTAAGGCTAAGTCATATATATCTGACACATGTGCCACATATACGGTGTGTTGGCGACATCGCCAGTGTCTGGTATCCGTTTTTCGCAGAACGGCGAAATCATACAGTAAAGGGGAACTCAAATTGGGTAGCACCTGCAGCTCGCACGGTGGAGGCGCCGACGCGCACACACGTTTGGGTTAGTGGGAGAGCACATCACGTCATAGGTGACAGCCGCGATCGCTCGGCGTCGCCAACAGTCGCAGGCCCAGAATTTATGAGTTGCTGCGAATGAAATTTATAGGTGATCAACCACGCTCTGCCCTTATTGGCTGCGTCTTGCACTGTGTTGGTATATTCCGACACGGCTCCAGCCTGCTCGACTTTGGCACTGCTCGATGTGTCGACCCTAAACATGTGCCGCGTCCCTAACTTGGTACCGTATCGCCCCGGATATAACCGCAGGCCTATATAAGACGCATGCGTTTGTATCTGGAGCAATGCGCTTATGGCCGATCCTCAATTATAAGCGCACCCCCTGTAAAACCTTGATTTATTATAAGCGCATGTACAATTTCTATTTTAAATCATGATAAAAACGGTAACGATTCACTATTTTGCAGCGAGTCCAGCCACATCCATTTCTACCGTACTTTGGTTGACTCTCTTGAGCACGGGCGATTCGATCAGGAAAGGCGGAACCTTGCGAAGCTGTTGACTGACAGCCCTTTCGAGGCGAAGGGGGGGGGGGGGGGGGGGGGGTGGAAAAAGGGACCGTGCCTGTGCGCTGCGAGCGAGCGACTGCACGCGAGTGGCTCATATGCTGGCCTGGGGCGAAGCTGACTGACAGCACAGCCGTGGGTGCTGTGCACTGAGCGAGCGACTGTGATTGGCTCATACACTGGGCCGGGGCAAGCTTGACGTGTCCTTGCCCGTGTGCGCTGGCAGAAAATCGCCCTCTCGCGATTCTGATGCCCATTTCGATTTGATTAATAATGCAACTGTACTGGGATGCACAATTTGGTGCTTTAAATCATAATTATGTATTTGCCATTATATAAGCGCATGCGCTTATAAATTTGACTCAATTATAAGCGCACCCCCCCAAAAAACACTGTTTTATTATAAGCGCAGGTGCGCTTTTATCCGGGGTAATACGGTATCACATAACCAGAGTACTGTTCTGCACCATATTGTATCTCATAGTTAGAGATGCAGTGTTATATGTGCGCTATCGATGTGCCATGTTAGTTTTTAATATTGGTCCCAAGTTTGGACAAAAGAATATTCGTCGCTGTTTGCTTCCGTGTAGTCTCCCTTTCATAAATCGTGATGGACAAATGCATGTGACACTTTGTCCTGCCAAGTTTAGTTGGAATTGGAGATTTCAATAAACAAGTCTAGGCATAAAGCGTGCAGCAAACTCCAGGGGCAGGTGCTGTTGGTGTATAGGCTCGGGTTGGGAGAGTGTTGGTTGGTGGAAGGCTTGCCACGTAAGACTGATTTCGGCTCGGTCGGACCTGGCTTCGCTCAGGTGAATCCAGCAGTGGAACAGCTTCGTTGCACCACCAAACCTGAACTCCTGCCACGTGTGTCTCCCCCTCGATTTTCGCTTCTCACCCGCTGGGCACGAAAAGAATCTTCAGGGGTCAACGTGTGTGGATTTTCAAATTCGTGCCGAGTCGACCCCAATACCGAGCCGAGCTCGAGCCGCGCCACAACAAGCGCCCAACAACGAGCTCTATCGTGGTTCAGGACGGTTCAACACGATGAAAATGGTTCTTGACTTTTACCGTGTTGAAACAAAGTTAAACGCAGTGGGCGTACAAATACAATTGATGCCTGTTTGAGCCCCTCCTGGTTGCCTTGTGAAGGAGGCGTATAAGCTTTATCTAAAAAATCGCATAGTTTTCGTCAATTCGCTGCTAGCCAAAAAGGATTCGCAGGTGCTTATATTAAGTATCTGTAACCTTTGTCGTTGACATTTTGACTTCGGCCTGTTCGTTACTATTGGTCCATGACCACGCGACGCGCTTGTATCGTGGGTGCAACAGGCCGGGGAAAAGACCTCGGGTGCAGCGTTTCCATCCGGTGCAGGGTAAATTCGCGCGCACTGGCTGGGCATCATGTGTAGTTGTCCTACCTGACCTCGCCCTGAGAGTAGTTGACACAATTAGTCAGTTCTATTTTGTCCAGAAAAACTACTTCTGGGATTACTTTCTCCAGACACGTGAGCTAGTCATAGGAACGTCGCACCTTCTTCTGCATAACTTCTTGATAGTGATGCAGGGACGGCCGCTAAAATCAACGAGTGCACAACATTATGCTACCCATCGGCCAGCTGCGATCCATCCGTACAATTTAACTAGCCGCCGGAGAAACAGCAGCCGCAGCTAAGGCTGCAAGCAGCTGAGGACGACACAAGCGAGTGAGACTAAAACGGGAGTGAATACGACGACAGCTGTTTCACAACCGCGACATTTCCTTGTTTTTCCCTTCTCTCCACCGTACCCTCCGCAACAGGCTCGCTTTTCCCCATGGGTTTGCTTTCGCCTCGATGCCCCACTTCCCTGCTGTGTGTAAGTAAAGACATGGGTCGTTGTGAGTGTGGGTGTTATCAACTCGTCTAAAAGATAAAGCATTACACTCGGTAGACAACCAGGAACAAAAGGAGTAGCAAACCATGCAGTTTTTCTCTGGCACGTAATATACAGTACGTAATGGGCTACACGAACCCGCTGTACGACCCTTTTTATCTCCCCTCGCGGCAACATCATCAGCGGTTTTCCTCAATGGTTGTGTTCGCCACAAAGTTCAGGTCGCCTCCCGGGAACATCATCAACTTTCAAGGTCGCCTTACAGCCTGGGGAACTGCAACGGTAGTACTTCCTGGAGAAGGGAGCTTTCCCTTTCGGCGTAATGACCTTGTTTCCATTGTTGTGCCACTTGTACTTTGAACCAGTCGGGCTCGGCGTCGTGCTTGCAGCTGTAGACGTATAAGCTGCGGAGGCTTTTGGACCGGAAGCAGCAGACTCGGCAGCGGTAGGACTGGCAGGTGCTGACGTGGATGGAGTCGTTGTCGTACTATGGGTGGTTGGGGTGGTAGGACCGGGAGATAGATTGTATGGGGTGGTTGGGATGATAGGACCGAGGAAGCGTCCATCTCTCTTCATGGCCTTCGCGTTCTCGTTTCCCCTCTGCCTTATCTCCATTTTTTCTTCTTCTGAAAGCTTTCGTTTCTCCCTCGCCCTGGAAGCTTCTTCAGGCTGCACCGTTGCGAAAGCGGATGAAGCGCCTCCAGGCCATCTCGACGCTCGCGGTTGAGAGGTTGCGGTGTGTCGCGTTTCTCCCAGGAAATTGTTGCTTACGTTCTGAGCGGAATCCAGAGAGGAAAGAGGGGCGCGGAACCGATACTGCATAGGTGAGCCACTGATGCTTCCAGACTTGATGTTACCCAGCGCCGAATCTCGCTGCATGTTGGTGGTCAACACAGCCGTTGCGCCGTCGTTGCGACCACTCGCACCCGCCCGCCTTTTGTGCAGGCTTATCCATCTCAAAAATCCCTATTGATTATACATACCTTTTACATACCTTTTCTATACTCCTTGGTATGTATTTAGTAGGGGTGATTAGGCCTACTATAAAGTAGAAGTTGTCGTACCTTTTTAGTAGGGTCCATTTCCATACGAAAAGGACTAGCTATTTAGTTAGTAAATGTTCCTCATTTACATGTCACTTATATTACATTTGCTGTCCCAACATCATGAAACTGCCTCCCGTTAGTCATGCATTTTCTGTTAAAAAAACATACATTTGCCTGACCAATTGTATGGAATCTGTGCAAATTTGGGGCTCCAATTTCTTACTGAAAGTGGCCCAGATGTTTGTATCCCGAATGTAACCATTTGTCTATTTCCCAATTATATATAATACATAAGCTATATAATACAACAGATCCCAGCATGGCACCAAATCGGCCGCCCACATCATCCACGTCTACAGACTATCCTCCGCATCCTCCCACTCACCCACATCATCCAGGAGATCACGCTCCATGGTGGCATCACTGTTGATGGAACCCGTCTTCTTCTTCTTGCCTTTCTCGGGCTCCACCTGGGCATACTCGAACAGGAGAGCAACCGCCTTCTTCTCGGCAGCATCGGGGTCAGCCCCATCGGGAACGAGGTCGGGGAAGCCGCTGCCCGAGATCACCACAGTCTCGGTGGGTCCAAACACCCACCCCTGATACTGCTCCGACCATGCAGGAAGCTGGTCATCCGGGGACTCCTCGAGGGTCTTGCGAATGGCCGCCTTCACCTTGCGGTGGTAGCAGGCAATGTCAGCTGCATTCACATCCGCATCCGTAGGAATGCGTTTGCCACGAGCCTTGTGGTGCACCACGGAATATTCAACCTGTTACAACGGGGGAGTGCAGATTAAAGGGGAAAGGTAGTGTTGGTTAGGCAAACTGGACATGGCAGGCAGGTGGGAGGTGATAGAGCACAAAAGGCATGCGATGACACCTCCACTCCACGTTCCTGAGGGGTGGTGAGCAGGGAAAGGGATGGGCAGCATTAGGCAGAGTGCAAGTGCACCGAGCAACAAGACGGGCACAAAACTGAGCCCCTCTATGCTCTTGCCAGCATAAGGGGTGGTTGGAGTGGAGAGGGGCAACATGGGAGAACGGTTGATGCATGAAGTATGGAGTGCAACACGCTGGGCATGGAATCAACGCCCTACAAGCTTCTGCCAGTGTGGCAGGAAATGGGCAGGGTGGCATGGGAAACAGGGAAGGGGGAAAAATGGGGAGAAGGAGAAAGAGGGGAGATTAGGGGATGGCGGAGGAGGCAGGGAGGGGCGGGTGGGGTTATTTAATGGTGCCGCTCATCACTGCGAGCTGCAGGCTGCCTCCTGACTCGCCCAGTGAGAACTCAAAGGGGGACTGCCCGTACCTGGGGTTCGGGAAAGGAGAAAAAAGGCGGGAGGGAATGGGGAGAAAGGGCCGGGGAAAGAGTGCAGGAAGCAAGGGTTGGGGTGGGGGAGGGGGAAAAAAGGAGAGAAGGAGAAAAAGGGGAGATTAAGGGATGGCGGAGGAGGCAGGGAGCGGCGGGTGGGGCCATTTAATGGTGCCGCCCATCACTGAGAGCTGCACCATGCCTCCTGACTCGCCTAGGGAGAACTCGAAACGGGACTGCCCGTACCTGGGGTTCGGGAAAGGAGAAGAAAAAAGGCGGGAGGGAATGGGGAGAAAGGGCCGGGGAAAGAGTGCAGGAAGCAAGGGTAGGGGTGGGGGAGGGGGGAAAATGGGGAGAAGGAGAAAAGAGGGGAGATTAGGGGATGGAAAAGAGGAGGCGGAGAGCGGCGGGTGCGGCCATTTGATGGTGCCGCTCATCACTGCGAGCTGCAGGCTCCCTCCTGACTCGCCCAGTGAGAACTCAAAGGGGGACTGCCCGTACCTGGGGTTCAGTAAAGATGAGGAAAAAATGAAATGGGAAAAAGGGGAGGGGAGGGGGAGAGGTAAGGGACAAGAAGCGGCAGGGAGGGGCGGGTGGGGCCATTTGATGGTGCCGCTCATCACTGCGAGCAGCAGGCTGCCTCCTGACTCGCCCAGTGAGAACTCAAAGGGGGACTGCCCGTACCTGGGGTTCAGTAAAGATGAGGAAAAAATGAAATGGGAAAAAGGGGAGGGGAGGGGGAGAGGTAAGGGACAAGAAGCGGCAGGGAGGGGCGGGTGGGGCCATTTGATGGTGCCGCTCATCATTGCGAGCTGCAGGCTCCCTCCTGACTCGCCCAGTGAGAACTCAAAGGGGGACTGCCCGTACCTGGGGTTCAGTAAAGATGAGGAAAAAATGAAATGGGAAAAAGGGGAGGGGAGGGGGAGAGGTAAGGGACAAGAAGTGGCAGAGAGGGGCGGGTGGGGCCATTTGATGGTGCGATTGGTTGGCGGGAGGGTCGGAGGGAAGATGGTTGGAGGGAAGATGGGGCGACCAACTGGCTATGCAAGGCAATCTTCAAGCAACCAATCTTACAGCTACATTTCAACACAAGAAACAAAGTGCTCGCACATGTGCAAACGTAAAAAATCACACTCATACGTACCAGATACAGCAGATAGGCGATGTGGTACGCCTTCACCACCGTAGCCGACCCGCCAGCACCCTTCTGAAATGCGTTGCGGACGATGATGTCGAAGAGCGCAGTGCCAAACGGGCGCATCGTGCCTTCAGCAAAGTGCCAGATAAGAAGCCCTCCCTTTTCTGCTCAGCACATAGATATATAAACAATGGAAACAGACATGCAGTCATACGTTATATGGAAAGGTGGGTACTTGCATAACCAAGGGTATGCCAAGAACATAAGACGTATACAGCACCATGCGTAACAACTGTGGTTACCAATGCTCACGTACTGCACTTACCAAGAGGCTTGACCAGTGGTATCCCACCCTTGCTCTCCAAGTTGTATACTTGGGTCGGTGTGCGCTCCTCATCACAAATCAGCTCGCTGTAATCGAACTTCAGACGGGGATTCGCTTCGCAAGCTAGCCCATAGGCGTCAGCAAAATTCCGGCGCCCATTCATCGAGATCCGCGCACGCCAATCACTCTGCTTGCGCGTTGAAGCGCCTGCCCGCGCCACGCAGTACGTCATGACTGCTACTAGCGCGGCAGCCTTGCTCTCGCCCCAAACACCGATGAGGCACCGCATCACCACGCTTTCTGACGGGTACACGCTCGTAACGTCGTCCGGTTGGCGAAAGAACGCCACAACCACAGCAAGCTCCATTTTTTTCTGGTACATGGGAATGCGGAAAAGAATAGGGAGATTTGGAAACTTGGAAACGTGGCAAATCAGCATGCGAGAAGAACAAGTCGACTCAAAACAGAACAAGGCCAGAAAAGGAGGGGCGTGAGGAAAGGGTGAAGAGGGGATGAGCAAACAACAATGCCCCTTAGCCATAACCCACACAAACATAACCCACCAACCCCCATTCCACACTTTCGATATGGCACTTACGTTCCATGCCTTGCCATAGGAAGGCAACTGGCGCATGAGGATCTGGTCCCTCAACGGGATACCGCTGAGTGACGTGTGCAGGACTACGTCGCACACGTTACCGTTGTTCTTCATCGTTGGATACTTCCGCTTCCGCGGCACGACAGGGGAAGCACGGTTGGATGTCGGGCGCTGCAGCATTTCGCGTTCGGGTGTGGCGACATGAGCTTGCTGCGACGTTGGTGCTGATCGCGGCGTTCCATTGGTGCTTGGAGACCCCGAGGCATGACCCATCGCACCCCTCTCCAGGGAGCAGGACCCGTTGTTAAGTTGCAACAAAAGCGACGAAATCAGCTGTGACTGCTGCTGCGTGGTTCGCTCCAACTCAGCAAGCCGCCCGTTAGCAGCCTGGTCAGATGCCGCGGCAACACCCTCCAGGGGGCTCCCAGCAGGACTTTGAGAGGGAAGCGACGCCCCATCACGCTCGGTGATGTTGTTCAGCGTGTCCTGTCGCCCGTCCCCTGCAGCACAGGAAATGAGCGTTACGGTTAAAACTGGGATACAAGCACAAGAGAAGATCTGGAATACAAGCACAACACAAGTTCCAAAGAACAGGGCAAGAAAAATTCAAGAGCTCTTACCTTGCTTTTCCGTCTGCAGCTTCGTGCGTTCCTCTTCCTCATCATGCTCCTCATCACTGAAGTCGTCAGCATGGACTTGGACCCCCAAGGGAGCGGCATCACCAGCACCGCTAGACGGGTCAGCTGCGGCAGCAGAGGCGTTGTCAATGCCGGTGTTGCCCGCAACATCGTCGACATCATCGTTGTCATCGACGTGCTCAGAAGCGCCATCCTTGCGCGCTTTCGTGATCAGTCGGCCGCCAACAGCCTTGCGCTTCTTGACACCGCCACTCAAGCGGGTACCAAGACCCCCAGCTCCCTGCATCTTCGGGGTCAGCTTGATGGGGCGCTTGCCTGTCACCTCGCTCCGGACATCAAGGACAGTAGCCATAGTTCTGGAGGTGGTGAAGACCGTACCGAGGAAGATAGGAACTAGGAGACGGATGAATATGATAATAATGCCCAGCGAGTTGTGACTTAAGTAGTAGTTAAGCTGGGCGATTAGATTGAAGCTCCTACAAGCGCAGTTGATTGGCGCCAAAGGGCAGGTGAGCACCACATTTGGGCAGGTGAAATGCATGGTTGGGCAGGTGATCGGCGGCGCTTGGCAGGTGTATTGATGTTCTGCTGGCAGGTGATTGAGAGCCTAGGCAGCTGAAAACGCCACCTGCTACGAGCACTGCTATCTGTTGAGAAAGTCTGGGCATGGTATAGGTTCGACATCTTGTCAATATACGAGCTAATCACAATTCAGAGAAACGTCTGGTTTGTAAGCCTCCAGTGTTGGCGCCAAATGTAAACTACAGTTTGGCGCGAGAGCTTCAGGAGGAGCTGGGAAGTGAGGAAACAAAGCCAAGTCCTCCTCCGTGCTCTAACTATCAGTAGAGGCGATTGTTTGAGTGTTTGAATTGCCATAGTTTGAACATTCGAATGAAGAAGACGATGTATGGTCCACACGATCAGTTGGCAACAACAAATCGTAACCGTCTAAGCTAGTCAAGGTGGGAAAGTAGCAGTTACGAGGCTACGAGGATGATCTGTGGGGAAGTGTAAGGGCGGGGTGTATCAAGGGATGTGCAATTTTGCAGTCGCGATCCCCAAGCACCAATGGATGCGGTCGGGGGTCGCCACTGCAGTGTTTTTTCGCGGCTGACTTTGTAATTCGTTCCTTTTATTCTCGTTGTCATTTCGCTGCGTCGCTGGACGACAGAAAAAAAATTGCGAGAAGGATCGACGTGCACCCGGTGCACCTACAACGCCTGATTGAAGTGGATCGCAAGCTGTGGGATCAGTCTGGTATAGGGTTGTTTGGTCGGCATGACCAAGTGGCTGTGGTGCAGCAGGTGTACAGTAATACCCTTACACATCGGACAAAACTTATAGCAAGGATCGCTTGATGCACCCCGCCCTAATCGCAACCACACATCTCAAGAAGTGGTTACTGTGCCTAGTTCGTTCGCGTCCAGATGGTCACTCATTCGTTGTGTTGCCAGGAAACTTGTGATTCCGCGAATAGGAGGTGAGGGTCGACGTGGATGTTGCTGTCTTCGACAAAATTGGACCAGGTGTACAGTGAGGAAGAAATGGCAACATGCCCAACCAGGCCATGTGCTGTTCAATTCCGCCACTTTCGAACTTTGTCGCAGCATGAATAACGACAAATGTTCCAGCTGTGCACGGCAGGAGTCGCTCACTACCTCCACCGTCATGTGGGGTGTACTTACGGAATCAACGTCTGACCCTCGCTTTATGGTGATAAATTCAATGACAAATTAGCAACTGATCTAGTACACAGCAACTGGATATGAATTCACCTTTGTTGCATTTATTTGGAAAACCACAATTATCAATTATGTCATTCACAGCTGCACAAGCCACAGTCGGTGCTAAGAGTTGGTAAGCTTCCTTCATGGTGTACATGTTCGAAAAATATGTGCTAAAAATGATGCGAAATATTTTTTGTGAGCCGTTTTAAGAATGACGACAACGACGACAAGGACGACACGGGCGACGACGACGACGACGACGACAACGACAACAATAGCAACAGCAAGATCAACAATAACAGCCACAACAACAGCAACAACAACAGCAACAACATCTACAACACCATCAACAACAGCCACAACAACCAAAACTACAGCAACAACATCAGCAACAACAGGAGCAGCACCAGCAGCACCAGCACCAGCAACAGCATCAGCAGCACCAGCAACAGCAACAACTGCAACAACGACAACACCGACAACGACAAGGACGACAAGGGTGAAGACGACGACGACGACGACAACGACAACAATAGCAACAGCAAGAACAACAATAGCAGCCACAACAACAGCAACAACAACAACAGCAACAACATCTACAACAACATCAACAACAACCACAACAACCATAACTACAGCAACAACATCATCAACAGCAGCAGCAGCACCAGCAGCAGCACCACCAGCAACAGCATCAGCAGTAGCAGCAACAACAACAACTGCACCAACGAGAACACCGACAACGACGACGACAAGGACGACAAGGGCGACGACGACGACGACAACGACAACAATAGCAACAGCAAGAACAACAATAACATCCACAACAACAGCAACAACAACAGCAACAACATCCACAACAACATCAACAACGGCCACAACAACCACAACTACAGCAACAACATCAACAACAGCAGCAGCAGCAGCAACAACAACAACTGTGCCAACGACAACACCGACAACAACGACGGCAACGACGACAAGGACGACAAGGACAACAATAACAACAACAGCAGCAGCAGCAGCAGCAGCAACATCAGCAGCAGCAAGAGCACCAACGGCACGAACGGCAACGACGACGACAAGAACGACAAGGACGACAAGGGCGACTACGACGGCAACGACGACGACGACGACAACGACAACAATAGCAACAGCAAGAACAACAATAACATCCACAACAACACCAACAACATCCACAACAACATCAACAACGGCCACAACAACCACAACTACAGCAACAACATCAAAAACAGCAGCAGCAGCAGCAACAACAACTGTGCCAACGACAACACCGACAACAACGACGGCAACGACGACAAGGACGACAAGGACAACAATAACAACAACAGCAGCAATAGCAGCAGCAACAACATAAACAGCAGCAAGAGCACCAACGGCACGAACGGCAACGACGACGACAAGAATGACAAGGACGACAAGGGCGACTACGACGGCAACGACGACGACGACGACAACGACGACGACGACAAGGTATTGGGTATTGCGAGCACACCTGTGATTTTTTTTTCGAGGGTATTGGGTTTGCGACACTACATGGAAACACCTCTGATAAGTTGAATTGTTTCGTGCAAATAGTTGTGGAATGGAATGTAAAGATGTGAGTTATCGATTTCCTGGCTCTTTTATTTAGTGAGTTTTTGAAACAACCAGTGTAAAACTTATAACGGAGCGAGATCAAAGGTTTGAACACACGAAGTTCGTGCCTCACACAACAGGTACAAGTTTCGACCGATGAGGCACGATCTGTTACGATTTGCCGCGAAGCGCACTAGCAGGATTTCGACCGCCAAGACGCCAAGGGTCGTGAACGATCGCTAGTGATTTGACGCTCTGTAGTCTCTATTCGCTTCTACTGTACAGCATGCCGATCGATCCTCTTAAAAGCCGCGTAGGCTTACAACGCCTTCATTTCCGCAGTCCCTTTCTCAGATTTTTCGGGATAGGAAGCCGTCGACGGCTTCAGATTTGCCTTTGTTATGGCAGCAACTCCAAGAGCACGTTATTTAGTGATGTTATCACTTATCCTGTGTGCGTGGTGCGCAGCACTCTTCCAGACGCACCGTGCTCTGAAGTCTCATCAGACCAACAACGTAGAGTGTAGGCTGCATCAAGCTCGCCTTCGTGACGAGGGCTACGAGAACGGCCCGTTTAAGGCTACCGAAGATGGACAGATTCACAAGGATCCGCCACCCGCATGCCATCATCACAAGCGTAGGCGGATTGACGATCCGGCAGTTCCTACAAGCCCCGCACAAGAAGCTCACACTACCGCGCCACACTTTGATGCGCCAACGAATGAGCACGAGCAAATCGCTTTTCAGCCTGACGCCTCTCAAGAGCCGATTGACTTCGATTGGGGGCCTGGAATCTTTGACACACGAAAAGAGCTGCTGTTACTGATGCAAAGCTTCCGTGAAGGGCAGGGCATGACCGTTGAAGAGAGCAAGCGGTTTTTGCGGGTCGTATGCCACCCGGGCTTCAACTCCGAGGATCTCCAAGGCTGGCGGAGCATAAAAGATGCGCAAACGTGGGCTGCGGACAAGTGGGGCTCGAAAGCGCCCGAGTGGAAGACGACAATGGTCGAGGTCCCAGGGGTGTTGGAGAATGGCCGACCCGTCTATGTGCCCTTGAAATACACGGACACTCTCAAGGTAAGTCACGGGGAGTGATGCTCTTTCACTACAGAGAATCTATTTGGTGGTGATTTAACGATCGTTTTCCGTTTTACGTGTTTTCCAGGTGGTGCAGGCGATTTTTGAAGACCGGTGCAACCAAAAAGGATTCGCACTGTACCCGAGCATAAAGAAACGCAACAACAAGAGGATTTATACACGCCCCCAGCATTGCAACTGGTGGCTCGAAGCCCAGGTGAGTGGTCGGCGATGGCAAGGGCTGTAACAGGGTTAGGTGAGCTCGGATGTGAGTGTGTAGGGAGGGTCAGAGTGATAGGTGAGCTCGGATGTGAGTGTGTAGGGAAGGTCAGAGTGATAGGTGAGCTCGGATGTGAGTGTGTAGGGAGGATCAGAGTGATAGGAGAGCTCGGATGTGAGTGTGTAGGGAAGGTCAGAGTGATAGGTGAGCTCGGATGTGAGTGTGTAGGGAGGGTCAGAGTGATAGGTGAGCTCGGATGTGAGTGTGTAGGGAAGGTCAGAGTGATAGGTGAGCTCGGATGTGACTGTGTAGGGAAGGTCAGAGTGATAGGTGAGCTCGGATGTGAGTGTGTAGGGAAGGTCAGAGTGATAGGTGAGCTCGGATGTGAGTGTGTAGGGAGGGTCAGAGTGATAGGTGAGCTCGGATGTGACTGTGTAGGGAGGGTCAGAGTGATAGGTGAGCTCGGATGTGAGTGTGTAGGGAAGGTCAGAGTGATAGGTGAGCTCGGATGTGAGTGTGTAGGGAAGGTCAGAGTGAAAGGTGAGCTCGGATGAGAGTGTGTAGGGAGGATCAGAGTGATAGGTGAGCTCGGATGTGAGTGTGTAGGGAGGGTCGGGGTGATAGGAGAGCTCGGATGTGACTGTGTAGGGAGGGTCAGAGTGATAGGTGAGCTCGGATGTGAGTGTGTAGGGAGGGTCAGAGTGATAGGTGAGCTCGGATGTGAGTGTGTAGGGAAGGTCAGAGTGATAGGTGAGCTCGGATGTGAGTGTGTAGGGAAGGTCAGAGTGAAAGGTGAGCTCGGATGAGAGTGTGTAGGGAGGATCAGAGTGATAGGTGAGCTCGGATGTGAGTGTGTAGGGAGGATCGGGGTGATAGGAGAGCTCGGATGTGACTGTGTAGGGAGGGTCAGAGTGATAGGTGAGCTCGGATGTGAGTGTGTAGGGAAGGTCAGAGTGATAGGTGAGCTCGATGTGAGTGTGTAGGGAGGATCAGAGTGATAGGTGAGCTCGGATGTGACTGTGTAGGGAAGGTCAGAGTGATAGGTGAGCTCGGATGTGAGTGTGTAGGGAAGGTCAGAGTGATAGGTGAGCTCGGATGTGACTGTGTAGGGAGGGTCAGAGTGATAGGTGAGCTCGGATGTGACTGTGTAGGGAGGGTCAGAGTGATAGGTGAGCTCGGATGTGAGTGTGTAGGGAAGGTCAGAGTGATAGGTGAGCTCGGATGTGAGTGTGTAGGGAAGGTCAGAGTGAAAGGTGAGCTCGGATGAGAGTGTGTAGGGAGGATCAGAGTGATAGGTGAGCTCGGATGTGAGTGTGTAGGGAGGGTCGGGGTGATAGGAGAGCTCGGATGTGACTGTGTAGGGAGGGTCAGAGTGATAGGTGAGCTCGGATGTGAGTGTGTAGGGAGGGTCAGAGTGATAGGTGAGCTCGGATGTGAGTGTGTAGGGAAGGTCAGAGTGATAGGTGAGCTCGGATGTGAGTGTGTAGGGAGGATCAGAGTGATAGGTGAGCTCGGATGTGACTGTGTAGGGAAGGTCAGAGTGATAGGTGAGCTCGGATGTGAGTGTGTAGGGAAGGTCAGAGTGATAGGTGAGCTCGGATGTGACTGTGTAGGGAGGGTCAGAGTGATAGGTGAGCTCGGATGTGAGTGTGTAGGGAAGGTCAGAGTGATAGGTGAGCTCGGATGTGAGTGTGTAGGGAGGATCAGAGTGATAGGTGAGCTCGGATGTGACTGTGTAGGGAAGGTCAGAGTGATAGGTGAGCTCGGATGTGAGTGTGTAGGGAAGGTCAGAGTGATAGGTGAGCTCGGATGTGACTGTGTAGGGAGGGTCAGAGTGATAGGTGAGCTCGGATGTGACTGTGTAGGGAGGGTCAGAGTGATAGGTGAGCTCGGATGTGAGTGTGTAGGGAAGGTCAGAGTGATAGGTGAGCTCGGATGTGAGTGTGTAGGGAAGGTCAGAGTGAAAGGTGAGCTCGGATGAGAGTGTGTAGGGAGGATCAGAGTGATAGGTGAGCTCGGATGTGAGTGTGTAGGGAGGGTCGGGGTGATAGGAGAGCTCGGATGTGACTGTGTAGGGAGGGTCAGAGTGATAGGTGAGCTCGGATGTGAGTGTGTAGGGAGGGTCAGAGTGATAGGTGAGCTCGGATGTGAGTGTGTAGGGAAGGTCAGAGTGATAGGTGAGCTCGGATGTGAGTGTGTAGGGAGGATCAGAGTGATAGGTGAGCTCGGATGTGACTGTGTAGGGAAGGTCAGAGTGATAGGTGAGCTCGGATGTGAGTGTGTAGGGAAGGTCAGAGTGATAGGTGAGCTCGGATGTGACTGTGTAGGGAGGGTCAGAGTGATAGGTGAGCTCGGATGTGACTGTGTAGGGAGGGTCAGAGTGATAGGTGAGCTCGGATGTGAGTGTGTAGGGAAGGTCAGAGTGATAGGTGAGCTCGGATGTGAGTGTGTAGGGAAGGTCAGAGTGAAAGGTGAGCTCGGATGAGAGTGTGTAGGGAGGATCAGAGTGATAGGTGAGCTCGGATGTGAGTGTGTAGGGAGGGTCGGGGTGATAGGAGAGCTCGGATGTGACTGTGTAGGGAGGGTCAGAGTGATAGGTGAGCTCGGATGTGACTGTGTAGGGAGGGTCAGAGTGATAGGTGAGCTCGGATGTGAGTGTGTAGGGAAGGTCAGAGTGATAGGTGAGCTCGGATGTGAGTGTGTAGGGAAGGTCAGAGTGATAGGTGAGCTCGGATGTGAGTGTGTAGGGAGGATCAGAGTGATAGGAGAGCTCGGATGTGAGTGTGTAGGGAGGGTCGGGGTGATAGGTGAGCTAAACACCATCTATGTTGTCTCTACTGCCACTTTAATTTGTCTTGTAAATATGGCAGAAGGCACTGCGTATCAAGGAAGAGGTCATTGCTGCGCTCATAGTGTACTCGGACGTCACTCAACTAAGCAAAAACGACACACAGAAGGTCTGGCCCGTTGTCCTCTCACTCGGGAATATTGCTGTTGAACATCGCTGGAAAACGAGTGCGAAGCAGATGGTGGCAATGCTGCCCCTGCCTCATTCGAAATGGAAAGGCAACGTCAAGACAGAGCTGTTCTTGAAGTGCATGCAGATCGTCCTCCAGCCACTCATCGATGCCAGCAACAGGTCAGTTTTGAACTGCAGACCATGGATTTGCATTGGTCTCTGTAGCCCAGTACATTGACAAAGTCTTTTGCCTCCCTGCAGTAAAGTGAGTTGTGTGTGGACTGACCCATCAGGGGTCAAACGCCTTGTGAGGCCGTTATTCTATAGCTATCCTTGCGACTACCCAGAAAGCTGCAAGGTGACAAGCACATTTCAGCACGGTAGCAACCGGCCGTGCTCGATGTGTTACGCGTTGGGTGCCGAGTGCGACAACCTGACCAAAAAGTTCAAGTGGAGGAACCCAAAGGAGCAACGGTTTCTGATGGATAAATACAAGATGTTATACCAAGCAGGGAAGACTTTGGCTAAGGATTATGCCGCGCTGTGGGCCTCATTCCCTTTCCACGTACGTTCATTGCCTTTTTAAAACTGTGTGTTTGTCATTATACTATGTTTTACAAGTTTATACCTGACCAAGTAACCCAAACCCCACTGCAGACATTCATTTGGGACTTCAAATACGCCGACACACCATAGGGTAACCCATACCTGGCGCTCATGCCTGATGTCCTTCACCAGGCGGACGTTGGGGTGTGGATGCACATTCGTGACGCCATAGCTACACTCGACAACGCAAAGAACGGCAAGCTAGACGAGTTAGTGCTTCCATTGCCTTGCCCTGAATCTGCCCTCAGATTGCTATCTCCCTTGCCTTGCCCTGAATCTGCCCTCTGATTGCTAACCTGCCTTTCCTTCACCCTTGTATGGCAAAAGCCCACAAGCCACCAAACCGATCTTGCTACTTTGTTTGCTTTTTTTGCCGCTGCCCTTCCTGCCATACAACCACATACAGGAGGATGAAGTGGCTATGGAAGCATGGGCGGATAGCCGGCCTGAATCTGCCCGTTCCAGGGACGTATTTCCAATCCGGAGCTCGCGTCTCTGCTGCTGAACACCGTGCAGTGATGCAAGTGACAATCTTCATTTTAGAAGGGCTTGTTGATAAAGTGCATCTGGACGCGGTGCAGGCATTCTTGCGCTGGTACAAGGCCACCTTCCGCCCGCGCTATCACACTGACGAAAGTCTTGCCAAAGTGGATCTCCTTGCGCATAGGTGGGAATTTTGTTTCCCCTTTGTCCGCTTCCATGTCACTATGAGCTGCCCTTCTCACTTGGAGCTGCCTTTCTCACTATGAGCTGCCTTTCTCACTATGAGCTGCACTTCTCACTTGGAGCTGCCTTTCTCACAATGAGCTGCCCTTCTCACTTGGAGCTGCCTTTCTCACTATGAGCTGCCCTTCTCACTTGGAGCTGCCTTTCTCACTTGGAGCTGCCTTTCTCACTTGGAGCTGCCTTTCTCACAATGAGCTGCCCTTCTCACTTGGAGCTGCCTTTCTCACTATGAGCTGCCCTTCTCACTTGGAGCTGCCTTTCTCACTTGGAGCTGCCTTTCTCACTTGGAGCTGCCTTTCTCACTATGAGCTGCCTTTCTCACTTGGAGCTGCCTTTCTCACTATGAGCTGCCTTTCTCACTTGGAGCTGCCTTTCTCACTATGAGCTGCCTTTCTCACTATGAGCTGCCTTTCTCACTTGGAGCTGCCTTTCTCACTATGAGCTGCCTTTCTCACTATGAGCTGCCTTTCTCACTATGAGGTGCCTTTCTCACTATGAGCTGCCTTTCTCACTATGAGCTGCCCTTCTCACTTTGAGCTGCACTTATCACTTTGAGCTGCCCTTCTCCCTTTGAGCTGACCTTGATTCCTGGCAGAACTACTCATCCTACCTTGATTCTCAGGTCTTCTGCACGTGCCCTGACTTCTTTCCTACCCCCCTCCTCCCTCCACTGCCCCAGGATGATCACAAAACTGAAAGAGGCGTTTCCTACCCAAGCCTCTGCCTGGAAGGTTGTGAAAGTGCACATGGTGGTGCACTATTCTGATGCGATTCGAAGGGGGGGGTTGCCTGAGGAGTACTCAACAAATATGTATGAGCATTTTCACAAAGTCACAGTGAAAAGACCGTACCGCGCCTCAAACCGCCGCCAATGGACCGAGTCGATAATTAAAAGTAATCAATTCCTATCCATGCTAGCACAGGTGGAAAGTGATATCCATGAGGAGCGCGACTACAATTGTGCCTTCTACGAGGTATGCTTTGGGTACTGATCCTTTTGTCAGAAATTTGTTGTTATCTTTCTTGCTTAAACAACACCCTGTCCGCTGTTTATGCTGTTTTCCCTTGTATCTTTCAGGCGGAAACAACCGGGCAGCGCATTTTTTTGAGGACCCATGTGGTCATGCACATGGCTGGTAGCACGTATCGCCGAAGCAGCACAGACCAGTTTGCACTGTACAACTCAGCACTGGGAGGCCGCCTGGATACCTTGCAGGAGGACCTCAAAACGGCCGGCATCACGTCCCCAACCCTCCATGTAAGCTCACATGTTGTGTTCACTTGGATTACCATCCCATGACAGTTACTGCTTTTAAAAGGCCTTCCTACCTCAACCCTCTCCTCAACATTCTCTCTCACGCTTGGACCTAAAAATCCTCGCTCTTATACCACACATCCCCCCCTCCTCCGAATTGTACCTCTCCTCTCTGGCCTGCAACCGTCAATCTCATCACCCATCATCACCCCTCACACGTCCCTCTCCTCTCTGGACTGCTGTGCCACATTCATCCCCCACTCCCTCACACGTCCCTCTCCTCTCTGGACTGCTATGCCACATTCATCCCCCACTCCCTCACACGTCCCTCTCCTCTCTGGACTGCTATGCCGCATTCATCCCCCACTCCCTCACACGTCCCTCTCCTCTCTGGACTGCTATGCCACATTCATCCCCCACTCCCTCACACGTCCCTCTCCTCTCTGGAATGCTATGCCGCATTCATCCCCCACTCCCTCACACGTCCCTCTCCTCTCTGGACTGCTATGCCACATTCATCCCCCACTCCCTCACACGTCCCTCTCCTCTCTGGACTGATATGCCACATTCATCCCCCACTCCCTCACACGTCCTTCTCCTCTCTGGACTGCTATGCCACATTCATCCTCCACTCCCTCACACTTCCCTCTCGTCTCTGGACTGCTACTCTCACATACATCCCCCACCCCCACCCCTCACACTTCCCTCCACCCTCTGGCCATCCTCACTTTCATCCGCTCCTGTTTGCCCTGCAACCCTCACTTTCATCCCCCATACCTCCCTCTCCACGTTCGTCTCCTCTCAGGCCTGCCATACTCACTCTTCTCCCCCTCCTGTTCTGCACATTTTCCTTTCCATTCTGCCCACACGACCTCCAAATGCCTCCAGGTCTACACAGGCGTGGCCATTCCCGCCGGCTCTGAGGAGTACAATTCCAGGGTCACTCATTTTATTCGTGCAAACCCATCGCACCACGGCAACCCGTGGTTCTCTCATGTGGCCATTAGTGGTGGGGAGGAGGTATGGTATGCAGAGGTGCTTCTTCTTTTTAAGCACGCACAAAGCAACAAAGGGTTCGCCTACGTCCAGTACTACAAGGTGGTTGGTAACGACGATGCGACAGGTTGCAAGCGCCTAGAATGGGCCAAGTACCCACGTTCTCGAAACTTGCACCGGGACGTCGTGGAAGTGGACTCGGTGTTCCGTGCTGTCCACATTGTCGAGTCATTTAAGCGTCCTGGCACATTTTTACTCAATGATTATTTGTTCGAGTAGATGATATTGAACTATGCATGAATTATACACGGAAAAGACAGTAATTTTGCCATAAAATACTTGCAACAACTTTAGCACGTCAAAGAGGACTAGAAATTTCTACACAAATGTAAAACACATTTCTGAAAATATAATATTACACATGTTTATGAGTTCGAAAAATATACCAAAAACACATTGTATAGAGTTTCGTAGGTTTTAACCCACTAAACGAGATGGCGATTTGGTCCACCGTTCGCTGAACGAGAAAAGCCCTATCGAAATTGGGTTCCGGATTTTTGCGATGTCTGCTCCACCGGTTCTGCGATGTTCAGCCCCGTACCGCCATCACCATAACCATTAATGCTTCCAACTGCAGCGCCAGCTCCAGCTCCCTGTCTCCCGTGCTGCGGATCTGCCGTGGTGCCGCTTTTCGCATCAGCTTTGGCAATATAAACAGGATCGGCGTCAGCATCGTCAGCATCACTATGACCGACGGCAGCGCCAGCTCCCGCACCCTGGCTCTCTTGTTGCTGATCTGCCGTGGTGCCGACTTTTGCATCAGCATCGACATTACAAACAGCATCAGCGTCTGCAACGGCAACGCCAGGGATCCCGTGCTGCCGCTTTGCCGTGGCGTCGTTTTTTGCACCAGCATCTGCATGAAAAATAGCAGCATTAGCAAAATCAGCATCAGCACTAGCAAAACCACCGACGGCAGCGCTAACGCCTACACCCTGGCTCCCGTGCTGCTGTTTAGTAGCGGAGGGTGTTGGCGGGTTGGGAGCCAACACGGAAGCCAGCACCCGGCGGCCCGGGAGCACGCGGCGCCGCGCCCAACCCGCCGCGTCACGTGCCGATGCCGATTCGACTCCCAGATGCGCCATCGCTAAAATGTACTGACCCAAATGGGGCCCCTAAGTGACTTTCGGGCAAGATTGGGGACATTTCGGAAAGTGACCCACAAGTTACTTTTGGAACTGACACTTTAGGCTAATCGAAGGTCAGATTGGCTAACCCACAAGCGACTTCCGGGTCAGGTACGGGTCAGGTACGGGTCAGGTACGGGTTAAGATTTTGGCGGGAAAAGTCAGGTACGGGTCAGGTACGGGTTAAGATTTGGCGGGAAAGTCAGATTTGGGGCAGTTTCGGGTCACACGTGGCCAGCGCATGGCCTGACTATATCCCCTTTACAGTGTGTTTTTTTTATGTAATAAGCATTTTTAGTTAAAATTGTATAATATATTTTCCACAATACACCGAAACATTAAATAACATGACTATGTAAAAAACAGGGCCTTGTACAGTGGCCCCAAAATATTAAAAACACTGCAGTGCTAAACCAACCTGAGAACACAAAACCGGCATCACAAATGAGATAAATCCAGCTAAAGAATATAAAAACTAGAACAATCATTTAGCACTTATCACCTTATAATTTGGAAACATCACCTTCATTGCTTTGTGCCCCAAAATAAGATCAGGCATGTCATAATAAAAATAATCTTCAACGGGTGTTTTCCATGTCAGGTTGTTGTAAGGGACGAAAAGCTGCATAATTAACCAAATTAAGCTTCACAAAATATATGCATCTGCAAGTAGAGACTAAAGAAAAGGAGACATGACACAAGCTAACAACAAACTGCAAGGGTAGGTGAATTTATATATCTCAATGGCGGCAAGATAGTATGTATTGCAATGTCTGGAAAATGAAACAACAATCTACAATGAAAGACGGCTTTAAGAGATTGCTGTGGCGGAAACACAGAGTGGTATTTGTTTCTGACATATCAGCGCCAAAAATTCTGAAGAATCACCATAGTTAACCTGCGTTTTGTCGCTGAAGAATCGCCCCCTGTGATGATACTCGCTTTCTGCCACGGAAAGGGTCATATCAGGATGCAAAAACAGGAGATAATTGGAATCGTAGAAATAACGTAAAAGAAAAAAATATTCAGCACCTAAACAAGCTTCTGAATCTCGAGTAGAGTTGACATTGCTTCCTGGCACACAAAAGTACAAGTAATAGAAAGCAATAGTCGTATAGATTAGAAGCGTAAATTCTGGAAAAAAAAACCAGGAATTAACAATGAGAAATAACAGTAAGGCGCGTACTAAGCGGCTCTTATCGCAGCGCCCGTCGCAGCGCCCGGCGCGTCCCTAAGCTGCCACGACGTAGTCGTGGCCGTCGTGTCTCTTAGCTGCTCGACGCAGCGCCCGTCGCGTCCCTTAGCTGCTCGCGACGTAGCAGCTCCCGTTGCGTCCTTTAGTTGCCCGCGACTACGCCAGCGCCCGTCCGTCCCTTAGCTGCTCGTGATGTAGCTGTTGCTGACTGTAAACGCAGCCTGCAATGAGGACAGATAGAAATGGAAAGAGGGAGAGGTAGGGGTATTTTTAAGAAATCGCTAAAGGTAGCTAAGGTTAGAGGTGCAGTTGCTAAACTCTAAGATTCAACACTGAGGCAAGTAGATCTAAATGCGAAATGTCAAGAAGTGAAAAGATAGGGGCTGTGAGGTGAGGTTGGTGAACACCACGAGAAGGACAAAGGAAATTGAAACCCTAGCCAGATTTGACTTTCATTTTAAGTTTAGTTATTTACGAAAGAGGTATTTGCTGTCAGGTCTTGCATAGTGGTTTAGCTTGGAGTTGTGATCCGGAAGATCGAAGATCGATTCTAGCAAACTCCTGCTACTTATTTTGTTCCTTGCGAATGTACTAGTTTCGAAGTCAATAGAAATATCGGAGTCCATATCTGCCAGCAACAAGTATCGAACTTGCATCACCAGGTCCCAAAGGGCTATACTTGTCAGGTTACTTTTGGGTCGAAAAACTCACTGACCCAGAACTGACCCTGTTCTAACCACTAACCCTAATTTGATCCCAAAGAAACTCTGGGGGTATTTACAGGACAGGCTTGGGTCAGGCCGGAAGGTGGGTCACGCTAGGGTCAGAAACATTTTGGTGATGGCAGTCTCCGTTTGCTGAGCATAATCGTCGCTTATCGCGACGGGATTCGTGGCGTGAGTCTTGAAGTGAGTCACGCTCCGAGGATCACTAGCGGGCAGGATGCCGCACGTAGTGAGCAAGTCGTCATCAGCACACCTTGCGCGCGGTCCGCCGTGTCGTTTCCTTCGCCGCAGAAACCGCCGGGCGCCGAGGGAAGTTTGTCAGCCTGAGGACAATTTTCATCAATCCCCATCTCGCGCAGCCATCGGTCAAACCCATCTTGCGGCTCGCAGTGCGAATTTTCCGACGACGCCGTGGCGCCGCCTCTTGGAAGTTCCAAGGGCGCTTGATTGTCGACCACGCTTCCATTTGCGGCCGCCTCCAAGGCACTCGCATAGATGGCTTCGGTGCCCGTTTCCCACGGGAAGCTGAAGTCGAAAAGATCACGTAAGTTATGCTCATTGTCCATGAGTGGGATCCGTTGATTCGACATGCCAGCGATTCGCTTGCAACGAATCCCTTTCGGGGAATGAGATGTGATGCGACGCGATTGCCGGGTCAGTTAGGCACGTGGGTTGGGCTTCGCGTTCAAAATGTGGAAGGCTTCAGCGATGCGCTGACGAATTCGGCAGGGCTGAGAAATCGGATGCGAATTAGGGCGCGTAACTAATTCCATTTTCGTCAAATGTCCGGACGGAGCCTCCAAACTGGCCGGACGGGGCTCCGTCCGGACGTTTGGGAAGCAGGTCCGGACGTTAGGGCGTCCGGACCACAATTGTGCAACTTTTTCCCCTATCGAAAATATAGAATCTCGCCACGAATAAATACACGCATTACAGAAATCGTATAGCACTTGGAGATTTCGCCACCAAAATTTGACGGCATCCTACTGGTCGGAAAAGTGGCCGGATCACAGCACAGATAAAACGGACCGTCCGAAATGCCGTTCGGACGGAGTCAGCAGGTAGTCCGGACCACTTTTTGGCAGAAAAGTGTCAGATTGTGTCCAGACATGATTGGTTCACTTGAGAGTGGGTTTCGTGATTGGGCGGGAGATGGGGGGGTTTTGGCGGCGACGGGCTTTGTTCAACCCTCTCCAACCAATCAAGGCAAGGCTTACTATGACCCCCCTTTCAGGCGCGAAAGACTCTCAAGCAATCACAAATGGTCCGACCGGATACATTTGGGGATGGTCACGTGTTTGATGGAAGGGTATTTATATTAGCGGTAACACTCATTGGGGTCGATCGCACGTAAGGTAAGCCACGTGTCCAAATCGTAACTAAAGTATCTTCCAATTGTCTCCATGGTAACTAACGTGCCAGTTTGGTCAACATTATTTCCAGAATGGTAATGAA